GACAGAGCAAGCTAAAAGTGCCCGGTAGTTTTGACGACTATACCAAAGTCAACTCAAAAGGGGGGTAGGAATAAAGTACATATACATTGTTGTCACATCAAATCAAGTTCAAAAGCATTTTCCAAATTCCTCAGTCTCCACTTTTTTTATTTTAAGTCTAAAAATCTCATTGCCACACATGAAAAGATACAGTTTGTACTTTTTTATATGGGGAGTTTAGACCCTTAGACCCCGTGAGGTACATGTACATGTACCCTTCAGTCTGCTCTACCAGGACACAGATGGTAACTTGCAAGTCAGCCGGCCACTCTTCTCTCCCTAGTTGGTTGATAAGACTGTGAGCTTTTTTTTTCAAGCAGATGTAGGGTCTGGTTCAGTGTTTTACATGTCTTTGCAACATTTGTACATGACTTTGGTGGACCATTAATAGTACTAGAGTAGCCTCATCATACACCTGTATGTACCTGTGTGCTATCTCAGTCTATAAATGTGTAGGTTGTGGAATTAATATAGTTTTCTTTTTTTTTTGTAATTTGTAAGTGAAAATCATTCAAATTGTAGGATGGGATTGAGTGGATTTTCTTGTAAGGCCACACCAATTCGATTTGTTGGTTCTCCGATTTTTTCAGAAAAAAATGAAGTGACAAGGCGGAAAAAAGGTAAAAATAAAAACTGAGGTCTAGGAATCCTATTAATTAGTATTATAGCCCCAAATGCATGAAGTCAACACAAAGGCCGGGTTGAAATTTAAACAATGAATTTTGAACTTAAAATCAAAAGCTACTAGGAAGAAAAGGACTTTTTTTTTTTGCAATTCAGAAAAAAAAATTAAAAGAAAAATCCGAGAACCAACAAATTGGTGTGGCCTAAGTGAACATGCACCAGTCATTTTGCCTGGTTCAGTCAAGACTACATTCATTTCATTGTCTCTCCTCCTTGGTCCTTGAGTCAGTAACCCGGCATGATTCGACCCCCATCGGTGAGGGGCGTCTACGGTAAAATTTCCATGTTGACCCTTCCTTTTACTTAAGTGTCTTACAGCTTTATATTCTGTGTATTCTTGAAGACTGGTAAAGAGCAGACAGCCTAACCCTGAGCTCCAGGAACAAGAAGCCCCCAAGGAAATAGTCTATTACACCACAGCCCCCCACAGTTAGCACACTAGTTCACTCTAGATCTGGTGTGTTACGGATCTGGCATCCCTAAGGAGAGACTGTTCTGTTGTAAAGAAACTTTAATCTTCAAGTTAATATTAAAGTGTGTTACATCATTGTTGGAGATTAGAGCTTCACCAGTGGTTAAAACAACGACTCAAAAAAGTATGTAACATATTGTACTATTGTAGTGCAAGCATGGTTTTGAAAATAAATGCTGGCTCCGAGATCCAGCCAGCCAAGAGAAAACCATATCACAGCCAAGGCTCTTGCAGATATAATATGGATACCAGACTAACACTAAATGAACTCCATGATATGACATGAATTGAAAGGTTTGGAAGGAAGGGTCGGTGAAAATGCAACCTCCACACCTGACCAATGTTTTGGCATACACCTATTGTTACCAGGAATCCTACCCAAGAATTGCCGATAAAAGCATGTCACAGTACCTTCTGAGGTTTCTTTCAAAGAGAATAATACACAGTTTCTGGAAATAGTTCATGATAGCTGTGTACTTAGCACAAAATGTGAGATATGTAAGAGTTACCCCCATTGGCGGGCAAGGTTTCCCACTGATCCGGGATTTTTTGGCTAGATTTTTAGACTAGAAATCCCCTACCAAAGCCACAACTTTTTTAGCCCATGAGTCACTTCCCCAAAGCTTTTCCACGTCTTATAATATGAAATGAAATAGCTATTCATTTTTTTCAGTGTGTAGTTGTTCTTCTTTACCATAACCTAGAGAACTGACCCAGCAGGCTCTGGTGGCCATAAGGTTAATTCATCTTGCCATGCCTGTCAAGACTGCACAAAAATGAACAGACATGTGTCTGGGGCGATTCCTCTGGGCAAGTAGAAATCAGAGTGGGATTGGTCAGTTATCACATGACATGAGTCTAGTCCCAGAAGGAGGATTACAAGATCGGTGAGGATTGGTCAGGACAGGTCACATGCCTACATCCCCTACACTTTTTGGTTGATATCCCCACAGTTTAGGCTGACAGCCTAACAGTTTTCCCCTCAGTTGCATAAAATAGCCCCACAGTTTTTCATAGTCTCACACTATGTGGATATTACCACAGTAAATTAACAGCTCTTATTGGCTGAGGGGACGTGGCCTTGGGCTAAGGGAATGTTTGCACTACAGTATTAGCATTTATTGTTCAGCAGAATCACAGTGTTGACTTTTGAGTCACTCTACAAATCACAATCTTCATTGACAACCCCCAGGGTGTTCTTCAAAGTTCTGTCAGCCAGGGGCTAACTGAGGGCACATGATAGCCTCTGATACAAATCAATCTGTCATGTGCCTTGTTACAAGTTAATCCTTAAGTAAATACTTGCAGCAGATAAAGCAGCATGAAACAGCTTCTGGTGTTAGCAGTAGCAAGACTTGCAGTCCAACTAGTACAGTGGAGGTACATTTTGTGAGGGAAAGAAAGCTTAAGCACAACTTACATGTATAATAATAAGGGAATTATAAAGAATGATGCAAAGTCTTTATAAGCCTTAGGTGATACATGTACAAATGTAGTAGAAGAAAGAGGGGGGAAATTTATCAGGTCTTTAACTGTGTAAAGCCTACTAAAGGAAGAAAAAAATGAACTACTATGTAGTGCGACTATAAAATTAATTTTTCATTATCAGTAGCTTCTATGTGGAGTATAGTTTTTGAACACTAACACACACAGCTCTTCGCTGAAGGAATTTGTGTGCAATGACATACATGATGTAGAAAACTATTGTTCCTACTGGGTTTCTAACTGCACAAGACTGGGTTCAAGACTGCCATACGAGTTAGAAATTGGAACAAAGTCAAAGTTATGATTGAAGACTTTTGCTTTCAACCGTGTTATGATTTATGGCAATTACAGCTTTACAAAATGAACTGTGGTACTGTCATAGTCTTCATGACGGATGGAACTCACATGTAAGAGACAACCATAAAAATCTCTTGCCTGTTTGTGGGTTGTACAACTCCTGCAGGTCACTTTATGCTTGTGTCAATGGGAAAAGTTTTCAGGACCAAGAAAATGCAGTCGCTATAATATATATGGTTAGGTGGTCGGCTTGAAGAGGTGAAAAATTATTCACATTACATAATGGAAAATTCTCATGTTTGATTGACACATAATTGTAATGTTTATGGACTCACGTCCTACATTGTATGTGTTTGCTATCCCTGTGCTGCAAAAAAACATACAAGACAGGACATTCTGCCAGGTACCTTCCAAAAGCACAAATTAAAGAGTTTGCAGATGGTGCACACAACTACTTCTGCCATGTACCCAGCCATCTCTGGCCGCCATCACTGAGCACCGAGCACAACATCACGCCACGTGTACAAGAACTCAAGCTTCAGGCTGACAATGACCATCAGCATGAAACACTGTGACCTGAATGACCTGAAAGTACTTGTGCCTGAAATGTGTGTGCCATCTGTAAACTCTTTTGTGCTTTTGGAAGGTACTTGGCAGAATGTCCTGTCTTGTATGTTTTTTTGCAGCACAGGGATAGCAAACACATACAATGTAGGACGAGTGTGAGTCCACTGACTCTCTAACATCAGAAAATAAATAAGGCATTGCAAATTCCTTCATATTTTGCATTTGGATACAGAATTCTGCATTTGGGTTGCAGAATTCTGCACCTGAATGCAGAATTCTGCATCCGAATGCAGAATTCTGCAGAACTGACCTAGTCCCAGGGGACCTACAGTGTATCGATGATACCTACGCAACTTTCAGCGAGTAATATAATAATGTCTTAATGGTGAAAGGAGGTCCGGAATTAGAGTCAGTCCAGAATTAAAGTGTTGTCTGTTTGTAGTATAATTATGCAGTTTGCACAAGGTATATGCACCTATGTGCACTTTGCACATAGCTGTGTGCAGTTTGCACATAGTGTGTGCACTTTGCACATAGCTGTGTGCAGTTTGCACATAGTGTGTGCAGTTTGCACATAGGTGTGTGCACTTTGCACATAGGTATGTGCATTTTGCACATAGGTGTGTGCACTTTGCACATAGGTGTGTGCACTTTGCACATAGGTATGTGCATTTTGCACATAGGTGTGTGCATTTTGCACATAGTGTATGGAGAATTTCTCGTTTTAGTTGGGAATGTGTTATATATAAGGTTTGGGTATATTTTAAAGTCAATAATGACGTGTAATGACATGCTGCCAGTGTTGCCAAATGTCCCATGAACACTAAATGTAGACCTGGACTTAAATATTTGTCTTTGAATTTGAGATTGAACATGATTTGTAAAGAAACTGTACCATTTTTTTGGCTGACTGGCAGAGAGAAAGAGAGAGAGAGAGATACCTGTACATGTATGTAGATTATACAAACTAGCTTGGGTACTATCATCAATAACACAGCTCACTGTCCGTTTTCATCAAATTATTCATAGTAGCAAGCAAAAACGAAGAGCCAGCATATACAACATAACTAACCTGCTTAATAATATGCAGGACTGGTATTTACATGTAAGCGTGTCAAAAACTTCAAGCTCTCCCACCCTGGGGCATTGTCTAGTGCATATCCAGGTTGGATGGCACACAAGCTCGAATCAATAACTCTCACAATGTTAATAACTGTTGACTTGCCTTGTACTTTCTAAGGTTATTTATTTGTGTCTCAAATTGTATTATGTGATTTGATTACTTTTTGTATTGTTTTGTCATTTTATTCGTATGGCTGCTTTGAAAAGGTGTTTCATGTCAGAAACACCTTTTTGCCATGCCATCCACAGTGCATATTGTACGTGGTAAAGCTTAATAAATAAATAAAGATAAAAAGCAAGTTCCTTGACTCTAAGGTTTCTTTCTTCCCCGTAGGTTGACCTGTCCACGTACGAAGCGGAGAAGACGTTGGAGAGTTGGGAGGAGCAGCTGGAGCAGCTGAGAAAGGAGCGCAGCGTGCGCACCATCCAGCGCCAGATCTCTGCAGCACAGATGGTCCAATCACTGCGCGTACTGGCCTTCAAGAACGGGGAGGGCTGGTTCGCCGAGGGGACTGTGCTGGTGGGGTCCAGTGTCTATGGGGTGAGCATTTGTTTTCAGACAAATTTTTGATATTAAGGCCACACCAATTTAATTTGTTGGTTCTTGGCTTTTTTCAGAAAAAATATGAAGCGACAGGGCGGAAAAAGAATAAGAATAAAAACAGCGTTAGGCATCCTATTATAGCCCCAAATGCTTAGATGGGAGCCATGAAATCAACACAAAAGGCTGGGTTAAAATTTAAACAATGAATTTTGAACTTTTAATCAAACCACTGCATGGATAGATGGGAAAAGTGTAACAACTAGGAAGAAAAGGACTTTCCTTTCTTTTTGCGAATCAAAAAAAATGAAGAGGCGAATCCAAGAACCAACAAGTTAAATTGGTGTGGCCTAATGAAAGAATGCATCTACATGTAATAGATCATCATCATCATGTAATGGTTAATTCTTAGTATTTGGAGGGACATAACAAAATTGCTCATGATTACTACGAAGAAGACAGATGGACAATGATCCGTTTTGTTTGTCTACACGCAGCTCCTGGAGCAGGCCACCCACCGGCTGAACCTGGCGAGCGCCGCCCGGCGGATCTACACGGCAGACGGTAACCTGGTGCTGGACATGAAGGAGCTCATTGACTGGGCTGTCAGCGACTACGAAGAACAGGTGACATGGGGATTCAAACATGTGTATACTATCTGTTAGGGTACATGAGCATGTCAGCAGAACTTATTGCACCAGCGCGAAACCCGTAATGTATTGTCCATAGCACCTGGGCAGAACTTCTCATATAAGGTCGTATTCGTGCATATAAGTTTAATATCATGTCTGTAGTTTCCAAATGTTATGTCGGAAAAAATATTGTCTGCAACAGGCAAAATTCTGATGCAACGTTGACCCAAAATCCAACGAAAACCGTGAAAAATGGGGGTTTGGTGCAGGTGCAAATGCTGACGTGCTGGGCACTCTTTTTAAAAGGAAGAGCTTTCTTAAAAAAGAAAAAAAATTGTCCTATAAATTGTCCATAAAATTAAAGAATAGGTTGTGGCTATGACAATTGTAATTGAACCATGAATAATTGACCATTTTACCATGAAAATACTGTAATCTTGCAAGTTACAGCAAATTTGTTCTATGAAATATTTCAGAAATAGGCCATAGAAATTAAGCATAGGTTGTAGCCATAAAATCATTGCATGCATAATTTAAAGTCCTGCATGGAAATATTATAATCTTGCAATTTCTTTCCCTCAGACTAAACTGGAGCAATTTGAAAGTCTGGCAAATGTAGCTATTTCTGTTGTCTTGATGTCTGAAAAATATTTCAGGTAAAAGAAGAGCAGCAAGGAACGACAAATGGAGAGTCAGCTGAATCTTATGTTGAGGGAGTAAGTCTGTGACTGTGTTCTGAGGAACTAAGGGCACCTTATGTTTACCCTCACATAGTCTTAAAGGCATCTGATGCAATTTCAGGGCAGAAAAACAAAAAATATTCTGGATGAGGAAGTCTATCTGATATCAACATTTATTGCCATTTCTTAGCACATTTTTGTCATCAAAACAGCTAGGCAAGAAGTCCCTTAATTTTTTAGTACCACTTAAAATAGCTAGAACCAGCCTAGTAGTACAATATGAAACTTACTGCCCTAGCTGAAATCACTTTGGGTGCCTTTAAGGTACATGAAATGCTGTTCTTTGGGGTGAACCCTTCTCACTAAGTGTTGAAATAATTATCTTCTTTATTTCAGTGGTTGCATATGATGAGCGTATCTTGTAGACTGGTCTGTGGTCTTCTAAACAAGCACAAATTCCCACTTCTTTGGTTAAAAAACAGAATTTTTTTTATTTAAAAGCAACTCTCTTTTCAGCACCATGCACGGTGATAAGGAACAGGCATGGGTACACCTTCTAACTTTGAAATAAAATGAATAAATAGAATAGTTCTTATGTTGGTATCATAGACCCTTGTCCTCATGTTCCCCTAGGTTCAGGCATATTTGCATGATGAGAAGGACCAGAGAGAAATGACTCAGGAGGAGAACAGAAAAGAGGAGGGGGCAGGAGATACAATGGAACAGCCTGATGGTAAGTCTTCAATTTGTTTGGAATATGATTTCGTTTGGAATGAGTCTGCTACATGTAAAATGATTAAAGACATTAAATGCATTGTCCAGGTCACATTTATCTGCCACCCTGAAAACAATTCTCAAAAGTGAGCTCCAATGCTCATGACCAACCAGGCACAATCTCAACTGCAATCCTACACTAGAGGTCTCTGAAACACATTTTTCAGCATATTTTCAAAAGTGCCAGAAATATATCACCTATCAGATAAATATTCACATTCCAGTGCAACTATGATTTTCAGTTCATTGTTATGGCAATTTGACAATTGTTTTTTTTTCATCGAATTATGTCAGTGTGCAAAAGTATATATTTGTCTCCTGTCTTCAAATCCACTTAATCCTTGGGAATATGAGATTAGGATGAGATTAGGTCTTGGTAGAATGTGGACAACACTCAGTAAGCTTATCTCCCCCCTCCCCCCCACAACCTAGAACTTGAGTTCACCTACCGCTACACCAACGACGACTTTGACTACTGCTGGGACGGCTTTGAACTTCCCGACCCCAGCTTCACCTTCAGCTTCGAGGTCAAGGCCGCCAGCGACGCCCACATCGCTCTCTCGGAGAGCAACGCCAACGAGGACGGGATGTACGAAATAGTGATCGGGACCATGATGAACAGAATGTCCGCCATCCGTCAGTTCAAACACGAGGGGTTACCCGACATCAGGATAACACAGAGGTTTGTAATATTTGTGAACACCTACGAATATTACTGTTTAGTAACTTTAAGCACTGGGTCTATATTGCTCTGTACTTAACTTGTGCTCTCAAAGTTTTATATCTGCAAAACTTTGTGTAATTCAGCCAACTTGGCTGCCAATGCAATGTGAACTAGAAATTTAACATTTTGCAAAGCATAATATGTTAACCTTCGAATATGGTCTGCTCTGTTAATTCTTATTTGAACACATTTTCATATATCATATGGTGACAGCAGTCTAAATCCCTCCCACTATAAAATTGCAACATGATGTAACCCTACACTAGTTATGTAGACAGACCTCTTGTTCAGGTCATTGACCTTATTTGTTTGTAGAGGAACAGGAAGAAACTGAGCAAAAACAATATTATGTATTCTCGCTCAGGACTCCAGACATACTGTCTGCCAACGAGTATCACAAGTTCTGGATAAGCTACGACGGGAACGGGACAATCGAAGTACGGAGGGACGGGGAGGCGGACCCCATTGTGCAGTGGACCGACCCGGACCCCCTGCTTGTGAGATACGTGGGATATTCCACTGGACATGGTTGTGATGGGGAGTGGCACTTCACCTTCAAATCAGGTGGTTGTTTGATCTTTTAAACGTCACCAACTGACAGCTACATGTACACTGAATTTTGTCGGCAGTATGCTCACATCACTCATATTCTATCAAGTGATTATGATATAGGATGGTATGTAAACTATAATGTCAAAATAGATTTTGAATGGTGTAGGTTGGAATCTGTTGTTTGCTTTTTGCACTTCCTTTGAGTAAATAAAGCATTTAATTTGATAGCATGTTGGCAGAACGTATAACGTACGTACTGCACCTGCACGAAATCGAACTGTACAAAGTTAATGTACATACTATTAGCCTTTTGGCCAAATGTCTCATTTAATGTCATGTTTGCATAGTTACATGTATTCAAGGATGACATCTCATCTATAGTTTTCAGAATGATGTTTCAGATTTAGTTATCATCTGCAATGAGCAAAATTCTAATGCAATGTTGCCTTGTCATCCAACGAAAAAACGTTTTGCACAGGCACAGTAAATTTTGCCAACATGCTAGCATTGTTCAGTATTTTGTTAAATATGATTTCATTGATTATGTGCTGATGTTGACTGTTTACAGTGAGTATTTAGTGTGGTAATGTTTGTTCGAGCACTGATGTTGAACTGTTGCTTGGTCCCCAGATGAAGATGAGATAGATGGAGGTGGGACAAAGACTATGGACAGCAGCATGGCAGATAGTTTCAAGAGAATGGACATCCAGGGTATGTGGACATTAACATATAAGCATTCTTTCATGAGTTGGATTATATACTTTGATCAAATATAGTAAAGCAAAATTCTATACTGCATTTTGTATACTGCATGTTTTTAAACCAATGATTACCAATCTTAAGTTCATGTATTATAAACTAATAATAAAAATTATCTAAAATCAAAGATTGCAGATACATGTATCTGTATCTGTATCTGTATCTGTATAGCCGGTATAACCGCCTTTCGGCGTAACACACCAGCATGTAGGTGAAAAGACAGACTTGTCAGTTTGTACAATAAAGTTAATGACAAACTGTTGTACAGTAACAACATTAAGATAATCACAGTCAGTCTGATTAATAGATAGAATTACATAATGTATTTTATTAATAACACTCTGTTGTATACACAGGCTATGTTGTACTAATAGGTAGATGGCTTTATGATACCCGGTATAACAATTAAAGAATTTTGAGGCTACTTGTAAATTCAAGCTTGTGGTAAAGGCTGCAAGACTGACTGTCACAACTACATGTATCAAAAACTAATTGCTAAGTCTTGAAAACAAAGTGAATAAATCTTAATTTGTATCATTCTCTCTCTGTCCTGTGATGACAGAAAACACTACCAGAACGACTCTCAGGGACAGACCGTCGTCAGCCCAGGTGGGTGAGCGTGAGCGGCGCGGGAGTGACAGCGGCACACGACAGCGGCACAGCAGCGTGGACGTGAACATCCAGGAGCTGATCCGCCATCCCATCCCGGTCTGGGTCTCCTGTGGGGAGCCCTTCATCAGTCCTGATGGTAACACAGGCATCTTTTTTTTTTGCTTCATATAGCTAGATAAAACCTGAAGCACTAACTAAAGTCATTATCTAATTTCAAAAATGATACAGAACATCTAGAATGATGCAATAATACAAAACGTTACTTATTATATTAGAACTTATCTAACCAACCTGTGTGATGGCTTACTTTTGGGTGACAGTCTGATTCCACCTCTGACTCCATATTCAGCTTTAGTCTTGACAATGAAACAAGTCTTAAACATTTTAAGAATGAAGAATATAAAGAAGAAGGAGATACATTGTACATGATATTTCATTATTTGTTGATTAGGCATTAAAAAAACTTATACAGCGTATATAATATGGATGTCTATTATATAGTAAGAATTTTAAGGTTTTGGGCAGAGCGTCACAGATCAATTTGAATGATTGACATGACTTTTTTTTTTTTGTTTTAATTTAACACTTGTGGTCTGATTAATTGATTGAATAGACTGGTAAAAAAGAACTGGGTGTCCAGATTCAGGTGTATTTCACAGCAGCCAAGTGAAGGGCTTGGACAGCAGACAATTTGCATCATGATTGTTTTAATCAGTAGTTTTAATGGCCAGATTAATCAATCAATTGGACTCAGTCTGGTAAAAATATAAAACTGGAGGAAGGCTAAGATGGATTTCTATCCTGTGCAGTTGTTGCGAGTCAGCGTGCGCTGGACCAGGTCCATCGAGAGGAGCGTGAGAGCGTGCTGAAGGAGCTACAGAAGGAGAAACACATTCTGCACCAGATGCAGGGTAAGGCACTACTTACTAAAACTATGATCTGATGGCTTAAACTCAAGTCACATACATTGTATGATCCACCTTCATTGGAGGGTTTTCCATGCCGATCGCACTATAACTTCAGAAATAATAGAAAATCAAGAAGAACTCACTCGACAGGTGCAGTTGTTTAAAAAGTAAGCTACGTATCGGCCTTGTCAGCCATCAGCAAACTTGCAGCAGAGGAGAGGGAAGGGCCCCTGAAATCTTCGAAAATGAAGCCAAGCCAGGAGAGAAACTACTGTACTCATTTCTTTCCAAGTCTATCACTGTAATATCGTTGCGGCAGTAACTTTCCAAGCATACATTTCATGTAGATGCATCCTACAATGTCGCATGCTTTAGTTTTGGGCTTCTGATTAAACATCTAACTCCAATTTAGGTTAAGTCTTAAAACTGACAGACTGTGAGTGTGTATATGATAGCATAATGTGTTGTGAGCTAATTTTATGTTACTGTTACAGTACCAGGTCGGCGGTACAAGGGCCTGTCCCACCCCAGGTTTGTGTGTAAATGTTCAATGTTGTTTCCAGGTCGGCGGTACAAGGGCCTTTCCCACCCCAGGTTTGTGCCCACCACCAGCAGTAGGAACCCTGTGATGTTGGAGGGGGGGTGGATGGAGCCCACCAGGGATGAAGTCACCAGGGAAGAGGCTGTGGAAAAGCTTGAGGTCAGTGTATGAGTTAAAGGAGAATAGGGTCTGTGAAATGTAACTTCTCAGACATGTAAGGTACTGAGGGTTCAAAGTACCCAGTGGACTCTCCCATGCTTGCCATACAACAATTACAAGTAAATTGTTTTCTGTGCAAGACTTGTTTGGAGACATTAGGTTGCCCAGCTTGCAAGTTATCTTTCTTAATACATACAAAGCAACCTTTTTAAAATTTACAGTGCCTTCTTCATAGTGTATGCACTGTTCTAATCTACTCAAAAGATAAAAGATATGTGAGAAGATGAACTTACAGTGACTGTCTATATGTTGGAATATGTATGTAACAATGAGGCAGTTTGTTACAAATGTATGTTGTATATTTTATCATTATGATAATACATTGTACATACATGTATGTGGAGATTATCATGATCATTATATACTACATGACTGTCCTACATGTACATGTACTGTAGGTCAATCTGGTAGCTATTGCTGCAGTTGTAAGAGAGGAAAGGTTGCATTGCCTGAGCTTTTTTGGAATAGTTTGCTATTATCCTTCATGACTTGTACAAATATACATTGTACATTGAATCAGTTATAATGCAGGAAAAAAACAGGAGAAAACTAATATATTCACAAATATCTATCACCCCCCCTCCTTAGACCCACCTGTCAGAAGTGAAGGCAGTTCAGAAGGTGGAGCGTAAGAAAGCCGGCGTGGGCCCTCGTACCGTCAGGACCAACAGGAAACTATACGAACAGCCAACCACGGTCAGTATGCTTGTTTCAGCCCTTGTTTGTTCATGAAATACACAAATCGGCCTGCTTACTGCTTTTCATTGAGATCATGAGAGAACAGGTCAGGGTCAGACAAAATACATGTAGTCTAAGACTTGTATTTTTCCCTATAAGGCCTAGGGAAAAAATTTTCTTGTTTCAGTCTTGAAAAAAATTAGGGTCGGTAGCTATAGGACTGGTATAGGGTCCCGGATTATGTTTTTTATTTCTTTCAAAATTCTTTTTCTTTCATCAGATTTTGGCAATATGTAGTGATCCAACTTGTGAAAAACTTGCATGAGGACACTTATATTTTCAATGTCAATGTTGGAAAACTGAGTACAACATTTCATCACTCAGGTGTCAATCCCTTAGCAGGGTGCACCCACAAAACAAGGCTTAGGGTCTGCAGTTTTTTGAGGGTTGGTAGGGAAACAGGAAACACAACTGTAATGGTCTTTTTTTCCCAAGGCCTAACAACTTACAATGTACTGTACATGTAATTATACATCATTGAAGTCTTAACAAATCCAGAAAATTAGCTGTAATAAATTCATGCTATTACTAGTATTAGACGTCATGTATATCCTTACATATACATGATTGTAGTATTACAAAAACGCATAACAAAATAAATGATTGCATATGTATCCATTCACTATGGAACCATATCATTATGATCATAATAATTATGGAATATGGTATCATGTAGTTTCTTTCAGGACATAAGGCTATCACTCACTTTAAGTCAAAGAACAATGTTCAACTTGTTTCTCTCCAGAAACGTGTGTTGGTGTACCCTAACGGGGAGTCAGCAGACAAGGCTGTGTATGCCTGGGGAGCTAACCTGCAACAGGTACATGTATATTTAGGGAAAACACTGAAGGGAAAATATTGGGCAGGGAGAACTGAAAATAAGCCATGGTAGGCACGTCATGTAAAGCAAACATTCACAGTCTGTGTTATTGAAGCAAAACATCACATCAAGTACATAATAGAATACAACACGGTCATGTATCTTGTATTACCTGAAGTACCAGCTCGGTGAATAGTTCAAAGGCCGAAGGGAGATTCAACCCGCGGGAGGGCTGGGACCAAGGTTGAAGCGGAATACTCCGTGTTGTATTTTATGTCATACCCACCCAAGAAAACACGCCCAATGCAAAATGTGCCAGAATTTTCTGTCCCTAAACCAAGAAATGCAACATCAATTTCAAGGCCCAAATCAGGTAGATTTTCTGAAAGCAGACACCCAGCTCAGGCAAAACTCGTTTGAATTATTGTATGAAATATTTTGGAAACCCGTGTGATAACCAAATAGAACTCCGGGCTAGTTCCCCGACTATATACATGTAGTTATCACTCTGGCTGGAACACCCATATTGAACATTATATTGGCCAAGGTATATGACATGAAAAGGTACAGTCATGTAACTATAATTTACTAGCTATTATTTATCTGTTTGTTTGTTTGTTTGTTTGATGTACATGTTCGTACAGGCAAGGTTGCCCAACTAGCAAGTAGCAATCATTAAGGGCGTCAGGCTTTGACATGTTAGTATCAACAAATTGAATGTAAAAGCTACATAGCTGTATGCTTACAATGAACAGGACTGGTGTACATTCTCTACCACTGAATTCCTTTCTAAGGCACCATAAATAATAAATGTCAGATCAAATGATAACAGTCAACTGTGTACGTGTAGGAATTTAAAGGGAAAAGCTAGGAAATTATAATTATTATACACTGGTCATAGTGGGCAGTCTTGGGATCATCTCAGGACGCAGGTCACATCGGACAGGTGCATGGACGCTATATTGTACAGGCAAGATTCTTAATGCTTAGGTCAATGAAAAATGTAAAAAAAGGAACTACATGTAGTAACAGAAGTAGCCACAATGGACAGGTGGTCTCTATGCAGAGGTGGCTGCTATTACAGGTTTAACTGTATCACAAACTGTAAGAATAATTAACAAAACTTTGTGTCTTTTTCCCTCTAGTTACTTGAATCCTGCACAATTCGTCTGAATCTTCAAAGGGCGGCACGTACACTATACACAGCTGATGGACAAAAGGTGGGTTTTCATGCTTGAAATTATCATAGTTATGATTACTTTAATCTGTTTTTTTAATGGGGTATCACAATCATCAACAATTTGCTGCTAGGATAAAATAAGAAACATGTACATACAATTTTTATGTTATTGACTCAACAAAAGTATAGGGACTTTCGTATGGTCTACTACAACTAAAATCAAACAAAGGGAAATACATGTATGGATAAAGTCATCCTACTTACAGAATATATAGTACATTGTACATGTACAATGTATATTATATTTATGCAGCAAACTTCGTACAGAATATATGTCAGTTGTACCATCAGCAGTTACATTATTTTCGTGTGGAACATTTTGTAGTGGGTCATTAAGTTAAACATGTTTCTAAATCTGTCTGGAATCCTTTTCTTCTCAGACAATCCTGTTGTTTGTATGTTTGTTTGTTTGACTGTTTGTTGTTATTTGTGTAGGTGCAATCCTGGGACGATGTGGAGAGAGATCAGCTGTTATGTGTGTCCAGTGGAGAAAGTTACATGAACAACAAAGGTAGAGACATATTTTGAATGGTGATATAATAGTATAGTCTGTCGGTATAAGAGAATAGTTATCATATAATATTATATATTTTATCATTTTATACAAATATGGAGGAGGATACACAAAGATAAACTTACAACATTCCAACAAAATTTTTCCAGACTGAGCATAATGTTTATAACGTTGCTGTAAACATATTCCAGACTTAGTTTCAATTTACTCAGCTTACACCAACTTGAGTTTCTTGCTCAAAATTTTGGGTCAGGTGCTTTTAAATTAACAAGTTGAACAAATTGTAATCAGATGAACGCTATTTGAGTTACCCTGTAACCTTTGTCGGTTATGGGACTAGGTAGGTACATTGTACATTATACATAATATACTATTAGGTATAGGTACTACAGTTAATATAAAATTACTTTACAGAACTATTTGAGTACCTTATGGCTAGCAGTTAGTCCTCTTTCTACTTCCAGTCTTGATGCATACTCAGTTTAAGAATCTAGTTTTGCTGCCCTGAAATTGCATTGGATGGCTTTCAAATTAAGTTAAATACCCTCCTCCCCTCCCTCTGCAGCCTCTAGAAGGAAAGTTGAGGTAAAGGCGGCGTGGTCACGAGCCAGGAAACAGGAAGGGATGGAGGCAACAGACGTGCTGACGGTCACACCTCGCACCAACCCTAAAGTAGAGGTACGGCTTTCTGTTAGATAATGTGTGACTGTACTTAATGTATGTCTGACTCGATAGTCGTACTTTCTTCTCTCTTGTTTCATCAAGACTGCAATTTGCTTACTAATAGCAAAAAATTTACTAACATTGTAGGGTGAAACTAAGTCATCAAATGAATGACTGAGTGTGTATTTGTGTTGTGTTGGGCCATGCAAGTTTGATTGTTGGTTTCAGCCTTCAAGTTGGGTATATAATTTACTACAGTATATTGTAGTAGTCTTTTTTGCAAAATCATGCCTGAAGGCTAATTGTTTTTACAAAGTCATTTATTATGGTCAATACAATTATATAATAGGGAAGAGACAACTACTGTCTTGAAAAGACTTGCTTGTTATGAGGTTTGACTTCTTTTTTGAAGGCAGTGGATAATGAGTATTATAGCAAAATATACACAGTGACTGTAGTTAAAAACTATTTCCAAGTTTTGACCTGTGAGCATTATAACACATACCTCATCTTGTTGAATGTCTTCAATCTTTTGTTTTACCGGGTGAATATTTAACTTTTAACTACAATTATGTCATGTACTGTACTGTATTTCAAAATCTATTGTGCTGTACATGTGCCCTATACTGATCTGAATTCTCCTCTCTCCATTTGAATGTCTCTTACCTACAGTCCACAAACTTTAAGGTATAAGCTGTGTTCCTTTTGCAATACAGTTTCATAGACCCTAGTCAGAAGATTCTACATTGAAAGACTTATAGATATGTAGATGATTAGAAAAATTATGAATAGAAGTTAAATGATAAATAGAAGTAGTCACCACTGTTGGAGCACAAAGGGTATTTTCTAGCAGAGAAGGGTACATGTATTATGCACACACAATATTATAATATTAATTCTATATTCAGCATGGCACTGTGTTGTGACTTCAGGAGCTGTTATATTTGTATCATTTCCCTTTCCCTTATTGGACAGAAAAGTACACACACAAGTAACTCAGCTTTGAAGTTTCTTAACATGTTTTATCTCTATTTCAGGTTGACCCGTACGGCCCCCCAGTCCTGGCTCTACCGGCTCCAGGAGAGGGGGGGAGCAAGAGGAGACCCCCTCTCCCCCCTTCTGCCGGCAAGAGGAGGTAAAGCCTGGACACCCCCAAACTGCAGTGGTACTGCCCTGGTTTCACTCAGTTTCGGATCATTCCAAGTCCAGATAGGGGTACTATATGAAAAAAAAGACTGAATGTATATTTAAGGTTTCTCTTGCCCTTTCTGTACGAATTTTACATAAGTGTAGAACCATAAGCTTCTGATCAATATATGTACCAATAGACAGTAATAATGTACATACTAAAATAGGGCTGTTTTGTTGTACAAAGGTTAAAGTTATAGGCTATTTTTGAGGGACATGTATAAGGTCTGTCCAAAAATAAGGCTTAATCATTATATATTACAAGTTAGGCAAATAGAATGTTATCAAAAGCTGTACAGTTATATTTCAAAATTTGAATGTTTGTCATCAGTACAAATGCTACATTCAGTTACTGTAGATGTTACACATAGCAGTTTTCATGTCAAAATACATCAAAACAACATGACACTTACTACTAGTAGATACAATGTATGGCATGCCAGACAATTTCATTATAGTAGGCTTAAAGTACTAAGGGTAAAGCCTGTCTTTGTTATTGGAGCAGACATACTTTGTACAATTGTGCTGTGTCATGGTTTCGCACCAATGATCAGAAAACTACAGTTGTACTTATAGGATATTATCATGATATATTTTACACGTATAAAGGTCTGATGTACATGATGTACAAAATTAATGTAATTTTGTTCAGCCGCTAGAAAAGTTTGTTAAACATTGCGCTGCATGATACATTTATATAATATTTACATAATTATTATATCCAGTCTTTACGATATTACATTTTACAGTACTTGGAAATAATCCCTACCCAAAGGATACTTTGCCTTGCTGATATTGCCTGTATAGTACATTGTAGTTCAATTTTAGCACTAAGCAGAAGAGGACTTATACATTGTATGTCACTGTACAATGTAAAGAAGGAAAAGGTAAAAAAATGACAATTATAATGTAACTGAGTGTTATGTTTATTCTAACACAATAAATGTGTTGTGTACACTTTTGTTCATAGTAATATGTACATTGACTACTGAATGAAAATGTGGAAATGCAATTTTTGGAACCGAACTGTGCAGCTATATTTGAAACTTTTTTCATATCAGCTACCATATCTCAGCATATTGCCTCCAACTAACCAAAATTTTCTGTAATATACATCTACCATGTTCAGAAATGTTTGAAATGTTTTTCTATAGTATGAACTGCTGGTTATGATCAGTTAGCTAGTACATATTTGGTCAAACATAGGTTAACAGCTCCATAGCTTGATAATGCATTGTGACCAAGGTTACAGGAATATCTGTTACTTTCTATCCCAGTAATCTATGATGCCATACTGCAGGTATAGCTTCTAAATATAGTACTGTATCAGTTATTCAGTATGACCAACAGAGATACTTGAAATATCACTGTTTTTGCCATAATGTTGAAGGGTAATTCTTGCACTTAGGATTGCAATCATCATAACCTCTTACAACAGTTAGGTATTGCTGTCTACCTGTAGTTCAACTTATGTTCTTTTTCTAGTTGGACATGGAGAGGCTAGTGTTCTGTATGCCCACAGATTATTATATAATATCATAAGAATTTGAGTGTTTTTTCTCTGTACATTTATTAACACTGGATCCACTGCTGCACCCATTTTTCTTTGACTTTGGTCAACATTATTATTCATAAACTGCTGCTATTTCATGCGAATTTGCATTATGATATATTTCAGAAATTCTGAATTGCATTGTATTTTAGTGAACACACAGCCACAAAAATGATTTATCATTTAAAACCACATATAAGGCTAGTAACAATTATTCTGCCGTTGATTGCAAGGGTAATATTACATGTAACTTAGAGACAAGCTGGTTTAAAGATTCATCTTACTAATAGGAAGTTAAAGATAATTGTTCGATTTTGGTCAGTAATTTTCTGTTGATGTTCTCAAAAATGTTCCAGTTATACAGCAGATTGAAAAATACGCAAAGCAATAAAGTAATTGTACATTGTCATACATGTACATGTAAGTACGTCGTTTTTTTGTTTCCATTTCATAAATGTTTCTGAAGTACATTAGGCCATGTTGATTTGATTATATGGATGACATCCGCACGCGTATGAATTTTCGGCGATTTTAAAAAAGTTTTCAACCATACTGTAAACCCTACAAAACAGTTGCTAAATAATAAATATTTACCGTCAAAAATATCGGAAAACAATACCAATCCGCCAAATTGAGACATAGCATGCCGGGGGAGTTGGTCTGCTGGAGGGCAAACTGTCCTCTCCAGCAGACCAACTCCCCCGGCATGCTATGTCTCAATTTGGCCGATTTCTACTCTTTCTAGCCGCCTCCCGAAGCCTGGTAGCGGCTAGGTGAGCGGCAGAAAAATGCCTCCCGTGACACTGACAAACTCCCGACAACCACGGGAGCAAGGTCGGTTGTGGTAAGCTGGTATTCGATGAGGTTGGTTTTAAATGCTAGTCTGCGCCAAAAGTTTAAAACAATACTCCATTCACCAGTTCTCCATTTTATGTATGAATTGCATGCGTAGAACAGTTTCCCCTTCAGCAGACCAACTCCAGTGGCACTATTTGGCCGCTTTCTAGTATTTTTCTACTCTTTCCAGCCGCCTCCCGAAGCCTGGTAGAGTTTAGTAGTACCTCTCTTCATCAAGCGAAACATCGACCTTTGCTACTACAGCTGTCGTGCAATCGCGGTCCAATCTAGGAACCACCCTCTATTGTACTAGTTCATTAAAAAATGACCATTTCGAAACTCACTTTGTTACAGTGAATGCCCCTCCCTGGCACAATAATGCAGTCATCATTATTATATGCGTTACAATAATGGAAAATTATAGCGGAACGGTCGGAGCGCGACCATAGAAATTGCTCGACTTGTATAGCCCCAAGGTCACTTGAAACTATTCTCCACAAGACTGAGAATGGTAAAATTCAGCAGAATGAGAATGGTAAAATTCAGCAGAATGAGAATGGTAAAATTCAGAAGAATGAGAATGGTAAAATTCAGCAGAATGAGAATGGTAAAATTCAGAAGAATGAGAATGGTAAAATTCAGCTGACTGAGAATGGTAAAATTCAGCTGACTGAAAATGGAAAATTCAGCAGAATGAGAATGGTAAAATTCAGCTGACTGAAAATGGTAAAATTCAGCTGACTGAGAATGGTGAAATTCAGCTGACTGAAAATGGTAAAATTCAGCTGACTGAAAATGGTAAAATTCAGCTGACTGAGAATGGTAAAATTCAGCTGACTGAGAATGGTAAAATTCAGCAGAATGAGAATGGTAAAATTCAGCTGACTGAGAATGGTAAAATTCAGCAGAATGAGAATGGTAAAATTCAGCTGACTGAGAATGGTAAAATTCAGCAGAGTGAGAATGGTAAAATTCAGCTGACTGAGAATGGTAAAATTCAACTGACTGAAAATGGTAAAATTCAGCTGACTGATAATGGTAAAATTTCAGCTGACTGAGAATGGTAAAATTCAGCTGACTGAGAATGGTAAAATTCAGCTGACTGAGAATGGTAAAATTCAGCAGAGTGAGAATGGTAAAATTCAGCAGAATGAGAATGGTAAAATTCAGCTGACTGAGAATGGTAAAATTCAGCAGAATGAGAATGGTAAAATTCAGCAAACCGAGAATGGTAAAATTCAGCAAACTGAGAATGGTAAAATTCAGCTGACTGAGAATATTAAAATTTGGTCACATACATGTAAATAATTTTCCAGTGAAGTTTGGCTCACATGGTGATTTATTCAGAAATATGTTGCCACGGACGTCACTTTTCACTCTATTTTGCCGAAAACTACTCTCCGTATAATCTCTTAGGAAGGCCTTATGGACTGGCTAATTTGAAATACTTGTCTAAGCATTCAAATTTTGAAAAAACACTAGTTGATTGGAATCCTGTTGTTATTAGATGAATGTTACAGGGTCTTTCCGTACGTGTGTAACTATGCACCAGCAAACTCCATGAAAAATGGTAACTGTGATAATACTTAGTCACATCGTTTTTTTCTTGGTGTCCAAAGATTATCATAAACAAGACCAAAAACATTGTATGCAGTTACTGGTGCAGCAATTTACCTGTTTTATAATTTTGATTAGAAAAAAGCAAACAAGTAAACACATGTACACAGTCAAACACCTGTGTTGAAGGAAAAAAAGTGACAATTGCAGAGTCATACAGCTAGGAATTTGGTTAATACCTGGCCAAAGATATTTCGGTGCCGTATGAATTATTTAGTGCCAGGCTTATTTGGTACCAACCTCTTACTTGATGAAATCGTCCCAATGACGGTGCTTCAGTAATCTTTTGTATGATGCAGAGTGTACGTGTTGTTAGCCTGGCGTCCAGTCTATCGTGGTCTTGGTGGACTCTCTTCGGGGCTGAAATATTTTCCCCCGCCCAGCTCAACTAGCTGTTCGGTAGTGGTTTTGTCATACACGTAGGAGGCTTGCACGTGGGCCTAGTTGTTGTCGGGCGGTAGAGAGCTCCTGTAGCCCCGAAGAGAGTTCGGCCGCCCCAACCATGATACACTGGATACCAGGCTATCATGTCGTGTGTGTCGTGTACGCTAATTTTTTTTGGGAAGAAAAATTGGTTACGCTTGAACTATTTATCACAATCATCCTTGTATCACAACTGGAATTTTTTCAGACGTCACAGTCACGTCAGGGGAGCACTTCACGTGCCTCTCTTCTTCTGTATTTTCTCTTTTTTGACTCGTTTGGTTGGAAACAAACGAAAGAAAACTAAAACATTATGACAGGATTTCAACTGTGTTGTGTCGTCGCAATCTGCTGCGTTTTTGGCATCGCTGCGCAACCAGGTGAGTAAGGACAACAATAATCTAGTGCTACATGTTTTTAGTTGGAATTCAAAAACTCAATTACTAAATAGTGTTGTTTTGTTTTTCTTTCTTTTCTTTTTATAAAACGATGATGCATCTCGTTACACTAGCTATACAGGACCATGCCTGCGAGGGGCAAACCTTGCAGCTGTCCTGCTCCGTGGGACAGACGCTCCTGATCGAGAATGCCAACTACGGTCGAACGTCCGCTCACCATACCTGCGGCTATGATTCGAGTACAGGCTGTCAAGCACCCAATAGCCTGTCCACCATGAGGGAGCGCTGTGATGGTTTTCAGCTGTGCTGCGTTACAGCAGATGACCAGGTCTTCGGTGACCCTTGTAGCGGTGTCCCCAAGTACTTAGAAGTGACATACCGTTGTCAAGGTTAGCCAAAGCTACAGTTACTGTTGAAATTTGAACATTTCAATGTATACCATGGATGGTCAAACATCTCAATTTTGTCTTCATCATTTGATAAGATATAAAAGGCTTTTAGACCAACACACAAATTACCATTGCTCTTTAAATTGCTAGGAAAGGGATTTTGTAATTGCACACCTTTCTGATCTATATATTTCTGCTTTCTTTGTCATAGATTGAACAGCCTAAAATGTCCTGTACCTTTTATTGAAGCCGGAGGCAAAATACACACGAGTTTTATTCATTTGCTAGTCTTCTTTTTTAGTTATTCAACCTCCCCTGTACATATCTACTTCCAGACACAACAGCCGAAATTAGGTGCGGCCCTGAATGGTACAGCCACGGGTCCAAATGCTACCGAGTATTCGACAATTGGGTGACATACGAAGGAGCAAAAGGTATCTGCGCATGCCACTACTCCCGCCTGGCTCTCCCCAAAGACCAGACGACCAACAACTTCCTTGTCGAACTGCGGAACTGTCTCCACCCCGGCTTGGAGACCTGGATCGGACTGAACGATGTGGAAGAACATGGAAACTTCGTGTGGGAGGATGGAGAACCACTGGGAAGTTTCAACGACTGGGGACCCGGGCAACCCTACCGCGGTGGTGCAGGCTGTGTTCGCATTAGGAATGCCGCGTACTGGAACGGCCTTAATACGTGGGACGATGTAGATTGTTCTCATAGACATGGCGTGATCTGTGAAACAGGTATGGTAGCAAGATTTTTTATCAGTGTTTGTGTGTAAACCTCAGTATCAATATGTTAGGTATTACAAAGACCTAAATCTTGATCTTGAAAAGCAGATTTTGTTGACTTCTTCAATTTCAGTTACACTCTGACTTCCACTGAGGCTTACTGGTGAACAATATTTTTAATGTGATACAATTCAAGTCTGTTTGAAGTTTCTTGTACAGTGAATTTATATATTATTGATTAAGGAACAAAGAGTACAGCAGCTAGAAGATTGTGTTTTTGTTCTTCACACAGACACATTCCAGCGTGACTGTGATGATCCTCCAGCACCAGAACACGTCCTCCTCCCGCCTCGGTGCAGCTGCTTCTCCCTCCAATGGAACAGCCAGTGTACCTATGAATGTCTCCCAGGATTCCATGGGGTTTCTGGGGATGTCGTCAGGACCTGCGATGCACAAGGCAACTGGACGGGATCGGATCTAGTGTGTAAAGGTTAGGTACAAAACGCACGCATACACACACACAAACACACACACACACACACACACACTCATAACTCACACACACGCACACACACACACACACACACACACACACACACACACACCAATCACATACATACCAATCACACACACACCAATCACACATACATTTACAATGTTTAACATGCAAGCACACACACAAACACAGGCACACGCACATATACAAAATCACACAAACACACACACACACACACACACAACCACACAGCACGCACATATACACGCATACACACACACACACACACACAGCAGTTATTTTCTGCATCGTTACTGATTGTAACATCAGTTTTATATCATGGTTTGTATGGTAATTAACAGCCTATTAATTCAGCTCCCTTATTGTTTTTCAATTAGAAATTTGGAAAAATTGTTGGTATTTTTCTGCCATTACTCCCTTATCAATCAACAATTCTTTCCTTTGTTGTCACTGCTAACAGCCTATCGGTATTTGAATAGTTTTCTGTTGTTAATACATGTACATACATTGTACATGCAAATGATTGGGCCATATTTTTTCTCTTCATGCTAGCTTTAAGCTCGTTTTTTTATGCTAAACGTCTGATCTAGATCTCCTTGATACGCAGAGATACAGTCGTGGTCAGCTTGGGGCTCCTGGTCCAACTGTAGCGTCGGCTGTGGACTGGGTCGGCAGACGAGAGATCGCGAGTGTCCCAACCAACCGGACAGCTTCTGCCACGGGAATTCCAGAGATGTTCAGCTGTGCTACGCAGTTCAACTCTGCACAGGTCAGTTCTTCACATATCTACAGATGTCTTCTTTGCAAATAAACATAAAGTTAATAGCCCCATAATTGTACATTGTACAAAGTTGCTGTTGCTAAATAACAAACATCGATCTACCTTACCTAAATACATAGAACCATTCCCTTTTAGAACTGTCAGTAATGAGAGCTAAATGTTAGCAAGAGCAACTTTGTATGTATCTGTTGCCATACGTTGTATCCACTACAACTGTCATACCATAAAGTTCTTCTTCTATTTACTCATTTCCCATCAGTATTTCTCTGACATGTTCTACGGTATTGTAAAGCTTGCTTTGTATTTTGCTACAGGAGCAACATTCCAATTTGTCGATGTAAGTATAATTATCTCTTTTTTGTAAGGAATATTCTAATCTGCTCCACGACTTGGTAAATGGCATCCTATCTAAGAATTCGTTCTAGGAATAAACAATATTCCCTATATTGTAATAATTATATTGTAAATGGTGGTTTTGTAACAAAATATCATAGGATATGACGATACATTGAACAATGAAATTGTGTGAAACATTGTATTGATTTCACTGTTGTATCTCTATAGTTGTAGAAGTCGTTACAAAAGTAAGTTTGGTGTTCCAACAAGTTTATGACGCTTCATGTACTTATGTCATGCCCCGACACAATTTCTTTCTATATACTATTAGGTCAATACATATGTCTCGTACCTCCATGCTATAAAAACAGGAAAATGATGAGTTTAGATTATCAACATAATATGTGGCTATATGGTAGCCGTCTCGATGTGTTAACTGTGCTAGACCAATGTACTTGAACTAGCTCGTAGTCTTGTACCTTACAACGCTTTGCAATAAGTGTTGACATTGAAATGGAATTTTAGGGGTTGCTGAACCCGACAGACGACCCAAACGGCACACACACGTGGCTGGAGGCGAGGAGACTACAGACAGCGGAACCGGAGGCCATTCTGCCGCGTTACAATGTTACGTACTTATTGCGTTACAATAGGAGCACCTTATTATTGGAAGTCGAAGGTATGTTTCACATCCAGTACTAGGTTTACTAAGGAATTTTCTATATAAAACTACTCATCAACTACTACTTTTACTACTTCTACTACCACTACTACTACATGTTCTACTACTTCGATTGTAAATACCAAGCATAATTGAACTACACTATAGACTATGTACTTGTTTGAGATGATGTAACTGAGGATGTTTTTTTTAACTGACTAAGCTGCTTACTAACAATTTTTATTCCTAAGAAGGTTAGTCCTAAACAATAGCTTTCCACTAAAATTGTGCAACCTTGAAACATGTATGTACATGAGGCATAGTGTACAACAAATACATTTGTGTATAACAACAAGCTTCTTTAATTGTTTATTTCCACAAAGGTAATTTTCTCAGTTTATATTCCCTTTTTAATATTAGGTGGTGGATTTGACATCGCTGTATCAGCCTACCTTCGTCATGTCGGTCAGCTTTCTGACAAACATGCGGTATTTGTCATTGTTTATAGACACTACCTTTAAGTTTAAAATTATGTTGTGATATGTATTTTCTCATGACATTGTAACTAACGATACGACATGTTTCCCTTATCATTCTAGACAACCTTAGCGTTTGATTTTGTTTCAGTAATGCTTCTTATGGCAATGATACTACATGTGGGTCGTCCGTATCATTCTATACATTCTTGATGAGGGATTTTGCTTCAGTAACGTTTTTTGACATTATTACTGGCGATACTAGCTCTATCGTTTTAGACAGACAATATTGTTTTTTGCTATCCCAGAACATGTCCGTGACGATTGAGTACGTGTTCTCCTGGTTCAACTCGACGCTGAGCGGACTGACCGACGGCTGGGTCCCGGCCCCTGACAGCCTGGTCTCGCCGCCGCCGCTGGCGTTTGGCACCACGGTACGTCAGGCCGCTGCCGTGGACGGCGAGGCGTCATCGAGGTGGCTGAACGAGGAAGGACTGGTCGTGTACAAAATGACGTAAGTTGGGGTATTACACGCACGTTTGTAGCTAACAACAACTATGGCAATTTAGTATATTCTCATGTACGTAGTAAACTCAAGTTTTGTTGCAAGATGGAACTATCAATATCATGATGTCTAGTACTTAGTCTGTGAGTGTGATGTTTACACCATGCTGCTTACACAACAAACTGCTCACACCATGCTGCTTACACTATGCTACTCACACTTTTCTGCTTGAATTTTCTACGTACACTGCTTATGTACATTGTAATATGCTGCTTACACTATGCCGCTTACACCATGCTACGTACACCATGCTGCTTACACTATGCTGCTCACGCTATACTGCATGTAATTACCTCCATGAAATGTGTCATGGAGGTTATATTTTCAGTTGCGTTTATCTGTCCGTCCGTCCGTCCGTCCGTCCGTCTGTCTGTTGGTCAACAAGATAACTCAAGAACGCCTGGATGGATTGGTTTCATACTTGGTGTGTTGGTAGGGTGTGACGAAAACTGGAAATGATGAGATTTTTGTCCCCCTAGTGGCTTCCCTTGGTACTGCAGCGCAACTTCCGGTTTTGATATCTCGCGATCTGGACATGCTAGGGTCATGAAATTTTGATGGAAGGTAGCTCTCGTGCTTGGGAAGAAGTCATATGAGTTTGGGCCCCCTAGCGGCTTGTTCTGGAACTGCAGGGCACTTTCTGGCGAAATGTTTAAAAGCCAATAAGTCCAGACAGGAACAACATATTTGCATTATTTTTGGTGTGTAGGTAGCTGAGAGAGAGATGTACATAATTAAATGTAAATTATGCAAATGAGGACTTTATTTGCATAATTAATGAGGAAATTCTACAATTACAGTGTTTTACATTATACTATGTAACCTATGGCAGGCGGAACTTCAACAGATACTAATTATGCAAATGATGACCTAATTTGCATAATTAATGTGAAAATTCTATGATTTCGTAATGGTGAATGATGAGAATGTCATACTTGGGACATCTGTAAGTTAATCAAAAGTTAACATACATCACGATGCATATATCATGTTAATGCAGAGGTCATTTGAACAATTAAAGAAGAAATTTACATTTACATATCAAGATCATATTTCATGGAGGTATGAGATCTCGGAATTCTAGTTACGCTATGCTACTTACTCTATGCTGCTTACACTATGCTAATTCACCATGTTGCTTAAGCTATGCTTTTTACACTATGCTGCTTACAGTTGTAGCCACTTTTATTGTTTTAGGCGGAAGTTCAAGGTGTCGTGTTCAGTATCGCTGAAGAACTACCCGTTCGACACCCAGACCTGCGTTGTGCAGCTGCGCGGATGTAAGTTATAATGGACTCCACGAGGCAATCTTTGCATAAGTTTTTTTTTTTTTCGTAAGATCCAAAGGCCATCTTGTGTAGGTCAGGTGACATCTTAAAACTCAACATTTCTCCCCCATTTAAAGATTTAGTATCATAATCCTTACTGGTAACAAGTCATGGTACTCATTCATGTACATCATGGATCCACTTTCCTACCTCTAGGAATACGCAGTTTGTGTATTCTGTGCATGAAAATAGGTTGTAATATCTCTTCATCAGGGCCTTAGCTTCGGATCATGGATTGTACAATCCGTGCATGTTTTTCCGTGTATGTTTTTCTATGAGAATTCCTAAAATTGCATTGAAATACATTGTACAATACCTGTATATACATATGTATTGTAAAATATGTATTGTGTTATAAGACCACAGGGCAACACTGCAGATATGAACTCAAACAAAGCTGTATCGTTAACACAGACGGTGGAGCTAGACTGCGGCTTCTGCCACTGGATGACGTCACGTTGGCCGCGATCAAGACAGACGCGACGGAAGTTGTGTCTCAGTTTGAGCTGACTGGAGTGGAGATCCAGGGCGCCTTCCACTCCTTCATGTCCAACACTAAAGGTGATGGTATTATCATGGAGAGAGATTTAACTATAAGTACATTCTTTGTGTTGAAACCAAGTAAAGTCCTTCCTCATTACATCCATGGCCAGATGCTAATATGCGTTTTATATGACTATTTAGTGATTTGCTATATTTCGACATTCGTCAAAGCCATGCCATGTTCAAATACATGATGGCAATATGGCATGCAAAGAGACATTGCCTTTGACTTAATGGTCATGGCTGTGAGCTGTAAGAGCTAGAAAAGAAGTTGAAGATTTTGATTTTATAATGAGACGAATAGGACATGTTTGGTCATTAACTATTAGTGCAGTGCATTGATTATCACCACGAGTGGTTACTTATTGCTTTAATCAAATGATATTTCTAAAATTCTGAATGAGACAAATTAAACATTATTCACCTTCACTTATAACTATCTCCACAAAATATTACATATTGATTTTATCAATTGATTACAGGTTGCATCTTCTTCAAGAAGACTTGTGATTACGACATCGACAGGTGTCTGTTTGGACGTTACGAGTCTTGTGACGCAAGCGAGGAATGTGGACAGTGCCGGAGGACAGTAGGAACATGCCGGTCGGAGTTAGACGATTGCCGCCACTATCACTCAGGTCAGTCGTTCTGGATGAGAAAGCAACGATTAAAAATTTAACATCCTTTGTCAACCATACTTCATCTCTGGCCTGGCATCCATCCTAAAAATTCTGGCTCTAGTTGTGTCCTCTGGTCGCTTCTACGCAGAAAGATGCTGTAGAGATCCGGAAGCGATCAAAAGGAGTGAATTGAGCTAGTAAAATTAAAAATAGCGTGGATTCCAGGCAACTTTATCTCTCACGTATCCTTTGATAACATGTAGTTCTTTGTTAATTTGGAGTATTATGGAAGATCTATACAATTCTTCTCCGCCTCTGATAATGTTATGGGATCAGATAAGCTGAGTTTGAGCGTCATAGTAGATCATATGGTATGCCAAACATACAGCGATATACCTATCACACACAGCATGCAACGTTCTTTTACACAAGAAAACAGTTACTCAAGCAGATTTTGAAAGTTGCCTAAAGTTGCTTGATTCGGATGTGATTTCTTGTGCAGCTTATAACCTGAATGTCTAACATTTGACGCAAAACGTTGCCTTGTTTTTCTTCCTATATGAAGATTCCAACGGCTACACCACGATAGACGTCCTGGTGCACCTGCGTCGGCGGCTGATGAGCTCCGTACTGCGGGTGTTCCTGCCGTCTGTAACGGTGGTCGTGTCGGCCTACCTGCAGCTGTGGATGCCGCTGCGCCTGTCTGACATCACAGGCAGGTTCAGCCTGGCCGTCACCACGTACCTGGCCATGATCTACCAGAGCAGCAGCGTGCGGATGCCGTGGGTAAGGGCTGTATTGTATTCAGAACAGTACTTTAACTAAAGCCAGGCTAGCTTGGGCACGACTCTGGATAGTCCACGAGTATCCAGAACCATGCCTATGGCAAATCAGCGTTCCTGGACACACGGAGACTACCCAAAACCGTATCTGATCCAAAATCTTAATTCAAGCATAGAACCAGGCATTGTAAACTACATTTGTTTTACTTCATGTTTGGCTTGAAACGTGTGTAAAGCACAAGACTAACAGGAATAAATTTATCCTTTACAGATATCAGAAGCCAGAGCAGTAGACATCTGGTTCGGAGGATGCCAGGCTCTCATCACGCTGATGATGTTGGAGACAGGACTGGTCCATTTTATCTACTCCCGTCGCCTGAAGAAGGTATCAGAACTAAACTAAGGTCTTTCTATTGGGTTGAATGACATCGAAATAGACACACTACTGCAAAAATATGTGAATTACAAAGATATTGACAGATATTTTAATCGTTTTGAATGTTTTTTTTTTCATTGCCATCTATCTGTTATCTTTGGTAAATAATAACATATTAACATATTGCTGATGGTAGCTTCTTGATATATTCGACGATGTTGACGATGTTTTCTAACCTTTTCTTTGGTAAATGATAACATATTGCTGTTAGTTTCATCCTATTACAGTCAACGTTGAAATTTTACATACCCGTTTTGCGGATTATTACATCTATAATGTTAATTTTCTGTCCCTAAAGTTTACAGTTGAAACATCCCGTTATGTCTGTTACCCACAGGAGGAGAAGAAGGTCCGGAAGCAGCAGGAGAACCCTCCGATCAGGATCCCCCGCCCGGGGTACTCCACCGCCCCTGCCAGCAGCCTGGAGGAGCTGTTCGGCCGCCGCTGTCCCGAGGGTGCTCTCCGAGTCAGCGCCTTCGATAGAATCAGCAGGCCGTTCAAGATCCCCAGGCCGAAGCTGAAGGACCCGGGGAACATTATGTGGCACCGCCTGCCGGACCAGAAGTGGATCGTCATCCCCCGGCCCGAGGACAAAGACGAGGCGGATAGTCCGGAACCGGCGGCGCCAAAGGACAAGGGGCAGAAGAAGGCCAGCAAGCTTAAGAAGTCCAGCAAGAAGGCCAAGAAGGAAGAGCGGCGATCTAAGACCCAGCGTCCTGAGTCGATCCCGCTGCAGAAGTTGGACCAGGAGTCCTCGGAAATGAACCTGAGGAGACGGCGGCAGCCAGTCCGTAACCCGAGCGAAGATCTGGTGCGCGTCGGGTGGGAGCTGGCCGCAGGAGGAGGCTGGAAGTCCGTGTACGGCACCGAGGAGATGGCGGACGACATCGCCAAGACCTGCAAGCCCATCCCCAGGGCCAAGTCCGTATACCAGCTCCGCGGAGTGTGCGATCCGGACAGTCCGGTGGTCACGGTCCCGATTCCCGCGGAGTTTACTTCGTACGCCTTCCCCCCTTCCATCATCGACCCGGAGGAAGAGGCAGAGAAGCTGGAGAAGATAGAGGCTGTGACGGCCAGGATTGACCGGGTGGCCAGGATTGTGTTTCCTGTCGTCTTTGTGGCTTTCTGTATTGGCTTTTTTCTCCACTTTTACTATATTTACTAGGCCATGCTATTTGCCTGCCGAAGATCGTTTAGGCTAGGTATGTGCTGCTACGTTCGTATAGTTTTGTTAATGACAGTCCGAAACATGTGTGACGACCAGGATTGACAGGGTGTGTTCCTGTTATCTTTGTGGCTTTCTGTATCGGAACTTTTTTCGTACTTTTACTATATCATACAATACTTTACAATATTATACTATACTAAACTTTACTATAATAGTATACTATACTATACTGTGCTAAACTACTTTAATAGTACACTACACTATTTATGGCCATACCTATCGCCTATAGACGGTCGTTCTTGGTTGTTTTTAATTAATATATGTTCTTATCGTTTATTGAGTGTCAATTTCAAATGACCTGCTTTGTTTACACGACAAAAGTTGCATGCTATCATAAGGAATGCCTACTGATAACAGCTTTAAAATTTATATTATGTACAATTACAAATGTGTGATTTTATTAATAGACAGATGTGTGCCATTATACATACTTACCAAATAGAACACTTACAGCAATGTTAGCCAGGTAGGGTTAAGAGATAGTTGTTTACTGCCATGTACACTTTGTCTCGGCTTGAATTAAAGAAGGTTCCTGTACCTTAAGTGCTTGGTTATGGTAAACAAATGTTCTTGCCTGGCTTGTCATTAAGAAGAAACCCTTATAGTGGGTAGGGAAAGACCTAAACTTGTCTTGTGTTAGTTTTCGTAAAAAAAGGGGGGAGGGGGCGAAACCAGTTATCATTTTGTGTATAGTTCTATTAATCTTCTAACATAATATGTTTAACTATTAAATGACTATGGCATTGGGTACTGCATATGTGATTTTATTGCCTTTGACTTGAAAGAAGGTTTATTATAATATGTGAATCATAATAAAAGGATAGCATGTTTCTGTTGACATTGTTGACATTTTTGCATCATGATGTCACCTGCTTTGAGTAAAATAGACTTTATTGATCTCACTCACATACATCACATTTTAACTCACTCACACTCACCTATGTGATTAAATATGGGACTTAGTGTAAAAGTGTCACTGGCCCTTTTCTGCCTTAAATAAAGCTTACACTAACTCCAATCACTCAAAACATTAGAGTATGGAATAATGATTACAAGAAAAAGGCGGACAGAATAGTAAATAAGATGATTACATGACGTCTCGTATTGGCCTTGCATAGGGCCTACCATTATAGCCAGTTGGATCTGTAGTATAGAGTTTTACATCGTGTCTAGTTTTGTCGTATTAGTCGGAAGAAATCAAGCAGAGTCAATTTCATTTAAAGTGCCTTCTTCTATGACCCTGAAATAGATATGGTATACTGGGAATCGGTGACACGGAAACCCCCATGCAGTGCGAAATCATATCCAAAATGAGGTGTAAGGTAATATTTTGATGATCGATTTTGACTTTACAAATCTTGTATTCGAATGTGGGTACGGAGTAAAGAGCCTGTTCCATAATGTTGTAATTATGCACCAGCCAATGAAAACTCCATGACGCCGGGGGAATAGCATTCATATATTTGGTGGAACTGATAACCATAGCTGTAACTTATATCATTTTATGGCTGAAGTCAATCATAAACATAAATAAAACCCTGGAATCATAATGTTTTACCTGTTAGTCCCTTTAACAAACAAACGAACAAACAAACACTCAAACACCTGTGTTGCTGTCGAGTCATACGCCAGGGTGGTTAGGTTAATACCTGGCTAAGTCTTTAATAAAGACATTTGCACGCCGCATGAATTATTCAGTACCAGACATATTCGGTATTAAGCTTCTTCTTCATTCTTCTTTTGTGTTCGGAGTGCTTGTATCGTTAGTCTGGTGCCCAGTCAATCGTAGTTTTGGCGGGTTGTCTTTGGGGCTGTAGTATTGCCCCCTCCCCCTCCCGCCTAGCTCAACTTGCGCCCTGTAGGAGTTTGATTGGGTGGCACATGCTAATTGAACTTCAACGGGTACCAAGTTGAGTAAGCCGGAAGAGAGCCTGCCCAAACCACGACAGACTGGACACCAGGCTAGCGTGTCGTGTGTGCTATCAATAAAGTGGTGACCTTAATTACGCTAATTGCCTAGGTGTGGAATATTTATCACAACCATCGGTGTGTTACAACAGAAATTTTGTTCGGAGTGTGTGCAGCTAGGTCTGGGTTGGAGCGGTCTTGGTTTCAGCGACGGTGGGAAGTTCCAAGATGAGTTGGTCTGTCATCTGCAGCCTTCTTGTCTGCCTTCTCTGCGTTTTCTCACCGGTTTCCAACGGTGTGTGGTCTCGTTGTTAGCATGACATGGTATCAAAGTTGAGACTATCTAATGAGGGTCGTAAAAATGTAGCACATGTAGATTGGTCAGTTAAATGGGAAGCTTGCTTGTACCGACACTTGAAGTTTTCTACTTTTGTAGTATTTGTAACTTAGATCATATCAAAAAATTGTACGTCATCTAATTCTCTTTATTGTTTGATGTGGTCTACCTATACAAATGATGTTGGCTTACCACGGTTGTAGGGTCGTATCTAGAATTTCTTGCAATGTTGACGAAGCTTCACATTATACTTGTTCATGTAATTTCACACAGTAATGTTGTACATCACGAATTACCAATTTTGCATTACTACTGTCACCATGAATTTTTTTTGAAAGTTATGTTTTTGTCAGCATTCGTGTATGTATGTATGTGTGTGTGTGTGTGTATGTGTGTGTGTGTGTGTGTGCGCGCGCGCGTGTGTGTGTTTGTGTGGTTTTTCCGTCCGAATGTCCGTCTGTCAACTCGATAACTCAAGAGGGCTTGACAAAACCTCAAAATGATATCATGGTACTGCAGCGGAACCTTCGGTTTCGATATCTTATGATCTGGACTGGGTAGATCATGTTACATGTACGGTAACGAATTTTTGTCGGTAGGTAGCTTCTGTTCTCGGCCGGGAAGAGGGTGACACGATTTTAATGCCCATCTTGTTCTAAAACTCCAAAATTTGATATATATTCAAAAGCCAGGAAACCAAAAGCAACACATAAACATATCTAGACCTTAACTCAATCCCACATTGTTCACTCAAACCGGTTTACAATTAAATAAATGTGTACAGATGCCAACGGTAAACCAGCCTTTTTCAAGACATTATGATCCTTTTTTTACATGTTATCGTTTCTATTGCCTTTTGCTGTTTTCTTATTTGCTAGTTTGGTACATGTTGTTGTTTTATTATAAGTTTTTGTTCAGTGAGCAATTAAACGGTTGTTTTCCCGCCAAACGTGATACAGCATCCTATCTAGTGTTTTACCAAGGCAGGGACCCGCTTGGCGTAAAACTGTTTTTATGGGCTCGCCAAAAAAAGACTTTCGAATGACAGTTCTAGCGTATCAATAGAGGATTTACCTTTTACTTTCAGAACAAATCAGCTGCACCACACAGTCCCGACATATGGATGGAGAAGCATTTACGTAAGCCAACAGCCATCAGTACTGTATTTCACTTATTCCTGAGAATTTAGTAAAACATCAGAATGAGAAGCCACGATAACGATGCAGTATAAGAATGGTATTGTTTCAAAAGAATTTGTCCACCATCCTCATTACACTGTTATGGCCCTTGCGATATATTAATATATTTTTTTTACTGATGTTAGTGCAAAAACACAATTTCTTCGCGTCTGGAATCTCACTTTATCTGTTCTCTGCCCCACCACAGAGTGGTCTGCCCTGCTGGCTGTGCGGATTTGAGATGGGCGACTGTCTGGGGTACTGCCATTTACACAGACGTAAGTGTGATCAACGCTGTTTTTAATAGTAGTCTCCAATTACAGTGTTGTCACTAAATCATTTATTCCTTCATTTTGATGCCTCTATTCCTCTACAAGGACTCCGGTATCTGTCGTGCCGCTATCCATGACGGCAGAATCCCGGCCACGGGCGGAGAAGTCACGGTCTACAAACTCCCTGGGCAATCCTCGTACCAAGGTTCCAACCAGCACGGAGTCAGCACCGCTGCGTTAGTAACATGTGGTCCTTACACATTGTACATAGAAAGCCGATGAGTTTGCTTTGTAGCAAGATATACCATGGAAACATAGTGTATAAATGGTTTCTATTTATATTATCAGTATGAGAGTTCCCTATATTTGTAACATGCTTGATAAGAAATGGTATTTGTTTTTCAGGTATGGCTATTGGGGCGGTTCTTTTGCCTTCTCACAAAGTAAGTAAGAAGCTTAATGTTTTACAAAGAATTTTGTTGTTAACAGACTGTTGGGAAACTTTCGATGTGTTGATATATTTTGGACACAATACGTGTGTAGAAATATCTAGTTCATGCTAACATCGTGTTCTATTCTGCAGATCCTTTAAGATCAAAATAATTAAAATAGTACAAAGTACAATGGGTCCTTTGCTTTTGGCCTGTACAATAACATGACGTGTAGACATGTAGTATTTACTTAACATTTGAAATCGGATTTTGTAAGGTGCAATATCATGGTGTTCACAGGTGGTCACATTGTGTTCACAGGTGGTCACATTGTGTTCACAGGTGGTCACATTGTGTTCACAGGTGGTTACATGTCGATATTCGTTGAAACTAAAACCTTATTTGAAGCATAAAGCTTCAATATACCGCTCCTATGCCTTTCTTGTGAGCAACAAAAATGTTCTATGTTGTTTGTCCTCTCGTGATGAAAGAAACGTATTTGAAACATCAATAAAGACGGTCATTAATAGTCTGTGTGCAAAAAGCCGCATTTCGCACAAAATGGTGCATTCTATACGCATAACAACAAAAATGCATTCGTGCAATTTTTGAAATTCTGTCAAAGCATTCATGCAATACTAATACAAATATGAAGATAAAGACTAAGTGGCCGTAAAACCTATAGCTTCAGTACACCGTGAATCAGTAACACCTAGCTTCAGTACACCGTGAATCAGTAACACCTAGCTTCAGTACACCGTGAATCAGTAACACCTAGCTTCAGTACACCGTGAATCAGTAACACCTAGCT